ATGCATGTAAATATGAATGTTTAGATGTTAGATATTTAAATACATAGGAATTATGTGGTATGCATAATGCATGTAAATGCTGCAAAAAGAATTCTAATTATTACAATGTATGTTGAGGCTATGGAAACAAAAAAGATGCCTGAAATAGAGAGCTTAAAAAATACCTTTACAATTCCAAACTTCTGTAAAACTTCTTTTAGGTCCTCTCGAGTAACCACAACTGTATCATCAGCTAAACCAGTGGGTTTATTTCCATCGTCGGCTTGTACATCTTTTTCAGCCTCAATTTCATTATTTTGGGAAGAATCAACAGCGGCCTTTCCCTCATTCTCAATATCATCACCTTCAGCATTCCCTTTCCCTTCCTCCTCCCCAACATTTTCAGAAGATTTCTCTTCATGATCAATGTTTTCTGTTGGTTCCTCAATATTGCTAGATTTTGATGCTTCTGTATCATCTTCTATTCCTTTCACGCTCTCTGAATCATTCTGTGGTGTCAAAGGCTTCAACTTGAAGGCAACAATTAAGCCTTTTGGGTAGCTATTAACGTTGTAAATAACAAATTAGAAGAGTATCAAAACTGGGTGAGATAAAAGGAAATTTTTGAGACAAATGGAAGCTAAAATGTTATGGGATCTACCTCTCGTTTGAACTATCCTTATTAGAGCTATCCTTATTAGAACGGTTTCTTTCAAGCCCCTCCCTTTTCTTGTCCCTCTCAGCATCAAACTCATTTCTGCAAAAAAGTCCAACGTTAAAACCAGAATATAAAATGAAAAAGCAGAATGCAAATGAACATGAAATAAACAAGGCAAAGCCGCAGGATGAAGTAAGATACAGATGCACACACAAGATCAAAAAAACAATATAATAGCAAAAATCATATTTGGCATTTGGGGAAATTACAGAAAAAACAATATTTAGTTCATACCCCGCAATTTTATTTTCCAATTATATAAAAAAATATTTCGTTAATTGATAAGGATTTCAATAGTATGATTATTTCACATGTGGCATGTTGCAAACCCTCCATGAGAACATTATGTCGTTCATGTTCTTTAATCAGCTACAAAATCTACACAGATTACAAAAACGAAAATTATTTCCGACCGAAATAAACTAAATTTAATCAATCAAACTACCAATTTGATTTATGTTTAATACCCATATTCAATCTATTCAATTCTTTTACAACACAAATTGATCAATTAAAATGGTCTAGAGAACCGGACTGACTGAATACATAGTCCCAATTACCTAAAAATACAACACAAATTGATCAATTAAAATGGTCTAGAGACTGACTGAATACATAGTCCCAATTACCTAAAAGTAGCTTTAGATATTATTACCTTCAAGCTTGAAATCAAGATAGTTAATGTTAATCAGAACTTGACTGTATCTGACCACTTCACAAAAAATACTTTTGCTAATAAAACTAATGAAATAAGGATTTCTTCTAATGCCCCTCGTTAAAATTTATTTAAAATCACAGTCATTGAAATTATTCAAAATATAATGCACTGCATGCGCAAAAAAGTTTACATGATTATAATGCACCTACACCATCATATCAACAAACCATTTATCTAGTAGTCTAATAGCTTAATTAGCAGAGTTACATGTAAATGCCACATACACGATCAAATACCTTGAAATTTCATGAAATTTGATACCCTATATTCACATAATAAATTTGCAAATTAGATGCTACAAGATAGAAAAAACAAGCTAAATAAAATCATATAACCATAATCACCAAGAAATGCCGCCACCATTATCCATTCATGGTTCTAACATAGATTTAAACGCTAACCTTAGGTATGCAATAAATTGTAAAACTTAATCGCTACAACGAGGAATGCATATAGACATAGAAAAGTGATGGAGACATCCAAGTACATAAACTAGTGAACAAGAATTTAATATAACGCAGTACAATTTGTAATCATAGATTAACATTGACAGATCTCAAAGATGTAAGATTACAACACCAAAAGCTTTTTGTACTTGCTATTCATATTACAAATGTTATGCTTCATCAAATTTTCATTTTTGAAAATGCTTACTTTGGTTTTAATTCTAAATCTACACCCGCATAAACCAACTTTTCCTGCAAAATCCTTTTAGCATCATCCTCATCTGAAAATTCAATTAAAGCGGCACCACAAAATGCTCTTTTGTCACCAATATGTCGTGGGAGCCTTACACTATTCACCTGAAAAATTACTAAGGACAGTAAGCAATGTATCACTTACCAATATTGAAATTATGAATATCACTATATTTGCTAGTGCTATGACGATATAGCCAATGAAAAAAAATTACCAAAAAAAATTCAAACAAGAAATGAAAGATGTAATATGATTTTTTTTAGTTGTAGATACCAAACAAAGTGATCAGATTTTCATAGTGCAGGATTTTCATCCTATAGAAAATAAGAAACTACGTGAACCATGGACATGAAGATGTAAAAGAAAATCTACATTAGTATATTCAAATATTAGTGATCTTAGTCAAGATACTAAATAATTATATTATTATCCAATTAGTATAATTTATATCCAATTAGCCGAATTGATTTATTTAATCAAAATAGTCAATTCAATTGATGCCTGTTTCCAAAATTTGTGAGAGCATCCCTATAAAAAATTTCACAATTGAAATACTGTAAAATGGCAAAAATATGAGTTTAAATTTGATTTTAAATTCAACCCCCTTTTTCGCAACCTCTGAAAACCATCAAAATTCTTTGTTTAAATTCTAACTTAATTCTAACCAAATCAATATACAATAGTATATAAGAATTATTGAAATAATTAATTTTCTAATTATAATTCATTAAATTAATTAAACTTACTTTAGTTACATTATTAACCTAATTAATCGATATTTATAACAATATAGCAATGTGTTCATTGTAGCCATTTGACTTCTGGTAGCATTGAAAGATGCGACAGATTTGGGTGGAGAATAACATCTTTAGCAAATTTCATTTTATCTATATATCTATATAGATGAAACAGACATCTGAAGCTCTCGGGTAGCAACTGTGGCAAAGAAGCAGAGAAAAATTAAAGGAGAATTTGGAGGTATTAAAATGAGGAAATTATGTGCATGTTATACTAAATTGCATTAAACCTAATAAAAACCCTTTCTTCTTCCTTAATTTACCGTGAAATGCAGCTTTTGGGAAGGGAAATTGGAGTAATTAGAAAGACATCGGAGGTTTAGAGTTAAGAGAAAAATATATTTTTGCAATCATGTACATATACTTTCAGTTAAACTTCATTTAAACTAAAAACAAAAACAACAAAACAAACAAACAAACAAACAAACAAAATATTTTTGCAATCATGTACATATACTTTCAGTTAAGCTTCATTTAAACTAAAAACAAAAACAAAAAAAACAAACAAACAAACAAAAAAAAAAAAACTTTGAAAGACTCTATTTTGCCTCAACTATAGTTCTCGGACAGAAATTTTGGAGAGAAAACAAATAAATTAAAAGGGTTTTAGAGGTTCAAAGTTTGGCAGAACTTCAAAAAAAGAGCAGCTTTTGGGGCTGTAGGTAATCATAATGAGAACTTAAAAGTAGGAAGAAGGAAAAGCTTGTATGGGGAAACCATTTCGAGGTAAAAAAAAAAAACTTTAATCAATAGTTATTTGTATTAAATTGATATTAATTTTAGAAATTTATCAAATTTAATGAAAATGTTTATTGTTAGTTTATGTAAAGAGGTGAGCCTAGAGAAAAGTTTCATGTAATAGTTAAAAAATAAATAAATTGACTGTAGTATTTATGCTTTATGTTACTCAAAAGTTTACCCTGGTTATTGTATATTTGCATTTAGAATTGCTTTCATGTTCAGCACATTTTGATTACAGTACCAGAGTTTTATTCATGTGAATGATTACCTGCTTATTTCCAGACTTCCAGTTTATAACATTATTATAGAAATAAAACATAAAGTACAATTGTTGATGTCTGCGTGTCAAACTATATATCTTGTGCATGCCAATTAAGTTGATTGTTAATAGTTAAATTTATGTCTAGCAAAAATAGCATATAAAAATAATTATAAGTAATGATCATCCAAAAACTGTCATGTATATTGTAATAAGTAGAAGGTTATATTGATGACCCGCGCAATAAAAAGCAAGGGTTCTGATAAGATTGAGTCTTGATTGACAAATGACAGAATTCCCAACTGTATATTGTAATAAGTAGAAGGTTATATTGATGACCTGCGCAATAAAAAGCAAGGGTTCTGATGAGATGAGCCTTGATTGACAAAAGACTGAATTCCCAACACTTGATATTAAAGTTGAGACCAACCAAATAGAATCAAGAAGTCGTTAATAAATCATGATGTTGGGATGACCAACATTCATCATCAATTACTATGGCCTATGTGATGACTGACGATCCAATAAAATAAAAAATGGTAAAAGTAAATGCAAATATAATATATAACGCTTCTAAGACAAAAATAAATGGAAAATAAGAAAGAAAATAAAAAAAAGTATAAAAGTGACATTGCATAATATAGTGAATGAATAAATTATCCATAACAGCTTTCATTATTTCTGACCATCATCATATACGCTGCTTTTAATAATGTTTTCTGTAATATTCAATTATTAAAACAAGATTACTCATTATCATTATTGTTGCAATGTTGCTCATATTAATCTCACTAACCAAAATGAATATTCTTCTTTTCGTATGTTTTTGAATCTTATTTTAGTAATATTTATCTCATTAAAAGTGTAATTCACCAGATACTTTAATTTTCAGAGAGGAGAAATGAGCAAGTGGACCATCAGCCAAGTAACAAATTATTTTGTAAGATTTTTTATTGAATACTTTTTTTTTATTATAGAAGACTTTAAGGATACATACGATGTTGTATTTGAAGTATTTTTAGAAATTTAGTACTTTATTTGTGGATTGTTTATATACACACTTCATGATTTTTGTTTTCATTTGTTATTCTCCTGTAATGTTATTACTCGAAATGAATAATGTTTGGTTTTATTATGAGCTTATTGTTTTCATAAACTGAATGCATAAAAAAAAAGTATAGCCATGATTAAAATATAAATATTTAACATGGATACTCTAGAATTTAAAGAGGAATAATAATAATAACACATGTCCACTGGTGTGCAAACGTATGTTTTTACTCTCAATTTCAATTACAATCTCGTTTCTAGAGTTCCTTTGGCTTTCATAGTTTTGATTTTAATATTGTTATCATAGTGACTAATCACATAACTGGATTAGTATTTATTCTTTCTTAAATATTATTTCTTAAATAATATTCTTTCTTATATTGATTTGGCTTATATAAGAGCCTTTATTTATTGCAACTTCGTATTTTGCTCGGCAATTACCTACCTTATAAAATTCTCTAGTCCCATGTCGAATCTTGGCTGAAGTATAGCTTGAAAACGTGTTTCGGACATTACAAAACACCAGATGTCAAAACAAATTAATTTTTAAAACAAAAAAGTATCCAAAAAAACTTAATTTAATCTTTTTAATCTGTTTTCTGATGGTTAATCCCAAACTTGCCCTCCCATTAATTCAAAAATCACCAAATTATTTTGGCGTAAGAACTATAAAGCAATATTAGCAGCTTATTTTCTAATGAAAATCCTGTAAAGTTTCAAATATCAGTCAGAAAACTCTTAAACAATTCCCCAATCATTTCATATGAAATTTTTACCTTTCCTTTTTCACCAAAGAATGCCTGCACATCTTCAATCTTAACATCATATGGCAAAGGTGATGCAGCCACTGTCCTTGAATCAACAAGTTCTATCACTTCTTCTGGTTTTAATAGTTCAGTACTTCTGCCAATCCTCTTTCCTACAAAGTCGTCCGGAAACTTGAGAAATTAATATATAAGAAATACTCAATTAGATCCTGGTCTAATTAAGTGTTCAAAATCTCACCCAGTAACAAATTACAACAGGCTATAAAAGCAAGGCAACCAATTTATACAAGGCTATAAAAGCAAGGCAACCAATTACAAGGCTATAGTAGTTGTGAAAGATTTTTCATAAGGAGGAATTACATACATGATACTCAATTTTCATGTATTAACATATCTAACATATAACTTCAATTTTAACATACATGCCACCTTACCTATGCATTAAAGGTGCATTTCACTTTTTAAAAATTAAAATAGAGGTTTTTTTATCTGATATAAGAGATTTGGGTGGTATAAATGTGGAAAAAGTGAAATATAATACATAAGAAGTAGATGGTTGTCGGTCGATAAAAATTCCTCTTTCGAAAATAAAAAAAATGTGGTTTTGATTTAAATTTAATATATATATATATATATATATATATATATATATATATACATATATTGATTTTTGAAAATAATATTTTAATTTTTGAAAAAATGAGACTGTATGGATCTCATTCATTTAATAGTTTAAGTAAACGAGCACAACACCTCAAGTAATACATCTATTTAGGGGAATAGACACATTACTTGGTAGTGAAACGCGATTAAATAAGCTAATGAATTTATGACATCTGTTTGGTCTACTAACCATTTATGTTGACCGACAAATTCGTTTATATTACCTGGGTTCTTAAAGCTCCCTATAGCAGCAAGCCCTTATAGTTAATTGTCTCTCAAATAACTGAAGTCACTTAAGAGAACTCTCAATGATGATCAGAGATATTTGTCTTAAGGAATTCAAAGTTTTAGGGTTTTAAGGTTAGAAATAGAAAAGTTAAGTGAAAAAAAAAAATCAAATTGGAACATTTATTTATGGAATGTCAGGAATCCTGAGGAGAACCTCGGTGACTTCTCAAACTATTCTATTATTTGGCTTCAATTTTGAGAATATGTTATTTAATATTTTATCCTATCAGTTCTATTATTTAGGGTTTATATTTGCGTGACACGGTCATATAAATGACCTGAAAGATAGGAGGATTTACGACGTATCGGACGATAATGTCGGAGCCTAAAGCGAGTTAAGGCTTAGATTACACAACATGGTCGTGAAAAAACTTAAAAGATAAGGTGAGGATTTATTTCGCACTATGCAGACCATCTCGAAATCCTATAGCTTGTTATTTAAACTAAGAAAATGTTTATTTGATGTAGACTTGTTTTGCTATTGTAAATCGTCATCCTTCATCTATTGCGGCCTCGTTGTGCTGCCTACGAAGACTTGCTCCATGCTCCATTTCGTAGCAATTTTGAGTTCCAGATTTAAGGTTTAAAGCATACACGCAATTGTTGAGTCAGATTACCTCCTAACATGTCCTGTTGTTCTCTACCCTAGGGGTTTAGCAGGTTCTGTAAGTTAATGCGGGAACAGAAGGACAGTAAAAGCGCAGTAAAGGAAAGCAGTGTAAAGAGCAGAAAAGAAAAATAGTAAAGACGGTGAAATGCAGTAAGAATAAAATAAACCTGTGTATCTGGTGTGTTTGTTACTCCTGCAAATGGGGTTTGTGTCACAAGTAAAAGTAAACAAGTATCGCAAAAAATTTAGCTAGCAGGGCAAACATGTGTATATATGTGTATGTAAGAGCTGAGTGGTAAGTGAAAGAACGGGTGACAGGTAAAAGAACAGGTGACCTATAAAAGACCGAGGTAAACCATAAGAATTCAGGTTCGGGGTAGGCTCAAATTTATCATTCCCGAAGGACTCCGAATGCAACCATCGGTCATCCACGCGTATAAAGCCCAGCATTTAACAAGAAATTTCCAACAAGACAATCTTAGGAGGGCAATTCTTAGACTGGTACAAATAATTGACAAGTGAACGTTCAGATTGTATTATTTAAAGTTTGTGATTTGTCATGCATATAGACGAAAATAGTTTTCTTTTGTTTAGCAATCGAAAGTAATTAATTTGTAAAGAAATATCTGCTCTGTCGTCATGTTTGTATATTTTATAATATAAATTGTCAACGAGTCGATTACACTGTTAAGCTAGGACCGTCAAGAGCCTAAGAAGGCAAGGGTCATCGCTAGTTTATTGTCGGTGAATAGTATTGTCATCCTACATCCTCATCAGGTCCTTGGGTCATGTCTCGCCGTAGGATGCAATATTATTTTGCTCTAGCACCAGATGCATTTGTCATCACGACCCTTAAACCTCAAAATCATCCAACTTATAGTCTTGCATGATGATTCACATATAACAGAAGCTATACATGTGCACTTATGTCACAACATAAGCACCAAGAACAAAAACATCAACCAAGAGCAAAGAAAGCAAAACGAAATAAACAGAAAAGAGAGGTTGACCCACCTTTAAAGTCAATGAAACAATGAGGCAAAACGGTAGGTGGGCTAGCCTAAGAACGCTTAAAGCTCTTTCAAGCAATACTAGAATGAGCCCCCAAAAGCACGTAATCACTCCCAAATAGCTAAGAACTCAACACCTTAAAGAACATATAATCCTCTTCCAAATTGCCAATGCAGCAACCCAAAAGAAAAATGTTAAAAGGGCCCAAAACAACGTCTTGTAAACCTCCCACCTCAGTGTTTAGAGAAACTCAAAACAACATTCAATAATCAGCAAGACAGCTCCAAAACCGCAACCAGACAGGCCACAAAACAGTTCCCAAAATTCCCCAAAACCGCAGCCAAAAAGGAGCCTCCAAGCAACACCAAAACTGCAGCCCAGAAGGCCACCCAACAACAGCAAAACTGTGGCCAAACAGACCACCAAACAGCTCTAAAACCAAAGTCAAACAGGCCCAAAAAACTGCAGCCGAATAGCCCCACAACCAGCGGGCAAACAAGTCCAAAACAGCGGGCAAACAAGCCCAAAACCAGACTAAATAGTTCCAGAAAACTGAAGCGAAACAACCTCATAACCAGCGGGCAAACAAGCCCAAAATCAGACCAAACCACTCCAGAAAACTGCAGCCGAATAGCCCCATAACCAGCAGGCAAACAAGTCCAAAAACAGTGGGCAAACAAACCCAACCAGAAAACTGCAGCCAAAGAATCACATAACCAGCGGGCAAAAAAGCCCAAAATCAGACCAAACCACTCCAGAAAACTGCAGCCAACAAACCCATAACTAGTGGGCAAACAAGCCCAAAACCAGACCAAACCACTTCAAAAAACGGCAGTTAAATAGCCCCATAACCAGCGGACAAACAAGTCCAAAAACAGCGGGCAAACAAGCCCAAACCGGACTAAATAGTTCCAGAAAACTGCAGCCAAACAACGCCATAACCAGCGGGCAAACAAGCCCAAAACCAGACTAAACCACTCCAGAAAACTGCAGCCAAACAACCCCATAAAACTGAACCAAACCAGCTCAAAATCTTGCAGCCAAACAGCCCCAAAACAACCTCAAATACGGTATTCAAACCTCCCAATATGTTAAGCAAATTGATCTCGAAAGGACATTCGAAACCTGCAATTCTCGAGTACAAGTAACAAGGGGGAGCAAACCCAAATTAACAATAGAAAAAGCAACTCCAGCTCTCGAGACAAAACCATCAGTATAGGTGTCTCGAAAAGATCTATCAGAATAGGGAAAGCATCGAATCCAAACCAAATCAAGAGAACCGACAACATCAAAAGGAAAGTGACACCAACGTGCAAGTTAATATAAGCAACTGCCTCCCAATCCTCACCACAAATATAGTGCCAAAACCACCTTCAACCCTATTTTAATAAAGCATGTAAGACTTTCCAAACTACTAAAAGTGATAAATCCAAATGTAGTTTTTCTCAAAAAAAAAAAAAACATTTCTTTCAAAACTGGCAAAATTGGGAGCAAATAAGAACTCCAAAAACTCTTTCCAAGCTAAAGAAAAAAAGTGTTGAACATCATTTTAAAGGCATTTCCTACAAATGTTAAAAATAAATAAATGTAAACAAGAAAGAATGGCTATCACCGTGCTAAACAAATTCACCATTTCAAGCTTAAGATGTTAAGCTTTCCTGTAAACCAAGTATCTATGCTATCATAGAAATCCATAAATCCATTTATTAATATACAATAATAAACTTCTCTTTCATTCAAGATCAATTGAGCAAATGTCATGGAGAAGAATTTATCCAAGAAGATATCATGCTTAAGAAATAATTCTCGATTATAACAATCTAAATCTCAAATGCCTGAAGTAAAAAGAGCTTCAAATACCATGGCGCAAATTTGATCTCTATAAGATCAAATCAATATTTATCTTAACTTTCCCTTACCATCCATTTACCTTTCAAGTAAACAAAGGAAATTACTCTTCAAACCAAATAACAAGCAAGGAAGAGTTTCGAAGCTTCTCCAAACTATCAAGGTGAAAGCATAAACAAGCATTTAACCCTTAACTTTCAAAATCAGCAAACTAGGAGCAACAGGAAGCTTCCAAACCTCTTTCCAACCATGCCAAAATGTGAACCAGAATGTAGCCTTAATCATGCTTTGAAAACCATTCAAGTAACAAGCAGAAGAGAGCAATGAGGAGCTCCCAAACCACTAAAATGTAAACTAAAATATAGCCCTAAGCATGCTTTGAAAATCATTCAAGTAAAGAGCAAGTAGTGAACAAGGAAGAGTTCCCAAATACCCTTCCAAAATATACCAACAATAAGCTTAAATGAGCATTTAAGCCATTTTCTTTTTAAATCAATAAAGTAAGGGGGCAAGTAGAGAACAAAGAAGAGCTCTCAAATATCATTCTAAGTGCAAGCTCCTGTAAATACAAGTTCTACCAAACATTCCTCTCCTTTCTTTTCATCTTTTTTTTTTTCTCCTCTTTCTTTCAATTTGCCGAGAAAACCATTGAAGTCAGAGCAAGCAACCAAGCAAACAACCAATAGCAATGAATAACCAAGGGAGAAAGGGAGCAGTGAGTACCTCGATTTA